TGACACAGCCTGTCACTGGCAGAAATTCACCCATACCATGTTATTGCCAAAAAATAACAGATTTGATTTCAAATATACAGCCACCGGCCACTCTATTAGATATACCTTGCTAGTGCCAAATTATATATCAAGAAAATTATTTAGGTATAGTGTGTGTATGTATACACATATATATATATATATATATATATATAGTCAGTGACAGGTGATAATTTGGGATTATGTAACATTATAAGGCTAGTACTGATAGATAACAAAACATAGTATTACATAAACATAACATTACAATTTATGTAGCATAAAATAATAAATATACACACAAAGCCCCTGTATCCTGGTTTACACACTGATATTGAGAGCATATATAGGTGTGTATATATATTATAGCACTGTATTTCTTTTCTCTATTTGATTTGAAGCACTAGTAATAATACAGCAGCTATTGGTTATTTATTTCCATATTTGTTGTGATAGCAGTGCAGATCCATTATAATTATATATTTCCTTACCACTGTTTAGCAATACTGTATAGCTGTCACATTAAACTATGGAAACCCTTTTGCAAGCTTTAAAAAAAAATCGATATTGATGGAATTTTAAAGTCTTCCATAAATGAAAATGCTGGCTGTCAAGGCGTCATGTTCATCCATTGGCTTCAATACTTCTGAAGCAGTCCTAAAACAAGTACACAGATCAGGAATTCAGACTTTACCATGACTTTCTAAACAATATGATTTCTGCAGCTCAATGGCTTAGAAAGAATTGAGGCCACCAGATTTTTGGTAAAGCCAAGTACAAGTAATAGAAGAAGTGTACAATATCAACCTTCACTCAGTACAAGTATCCTATACCACGTTTTCACCCCAAGTGAATTCTGGGCAACCTTGCAGTGTGTGACAATAATGTGTCACTCACATTATTTTGCTCATAACAGGTTATGTTAACAAAATACAATCCTCTAGACATTGCTAGGATTTTAGTAAGCTTTTTGCAGATTCATACCTTGTTCTTTTTAAGAAGTTACTTTTCTCCCCATGTCCTTTCTCAGACTGATCTCTAATGGGAGGGTATGGATGAATTGTAACCACCTGGTGCAGCTTCAGGGTAGTAATGAGACCAGCTGTAAGCCTACATCCCTTTAGAAAAGGACAGGCCTAAAGCTGGCCATACACTTGTACAATTTTCTTGTTCAATTTACCTTGAATTATGTAGTGCAAGGACCTGCCTGTTTGCATACAAATTGAAAGTGTTTAGGTCTGATCTCATATTACATGGTATTGATAAATCTAAAAGAAAACTGTATAATATATGGCCAGCCATAGGCTTAGTTTATACTTGTGATGGTGGGTAGTAAAAACACACAGATGAACCACATTTTTACACACACCCCTCCCCAAGCTGCAAAATTGATCCATGCTGTTTAAAACAGATGGCAAAATAATGCCTCACCACCTGCCGAATGCCCTCTGAAAAGCAAAGCACTGTGGACTGCTCTACAGAGAAAAATACATGTATAAACAAGCCCTTAGGCCAGGACTACACTGGCTACTATCCCTATGCACACTCTGTGTGAGAACAGCCATGGCCATATTTGCACCCTGTATAAAATCAAAGGCCTGCACCTCCATGGTTTACATGTAACTGGGCTGACAGCACACAACGTGGATGTAGGTAACCGTCCATACTGGTATATGTTATACACAGTGCTTCTGCATCTGGGCACTTCAGGTGAGCAGTCTCTGCATACTTGGCACATTAGGATGAGTGGCTGTGTCCCCACAGAGAAATATAGGCTGTCTGCACACAGCTCCAGAAACATAAACAAGGTGCTCGTTCACACTGTACGGATCACAGCAACCATGTGAACGGGGTCTTAACCACTTCCCAACCGCCCTATAGCAGAAAAACTGCTACAGGGAGGCAAGGATGCACAAAATCATGTATTTATACATAAGTGTGCATCTCTGGGTAGGGGGCGCACACCTTACCTGTGTCGCGATTCACAGCTGTCAATCACCGGGTCCCGGCCAGTGATTAGTCGCCAGCGCCCGCTGGTTCCCAAGGATCTCCGACGGGGAGGAGAACTGTATGTAAACAATATAGTTCTCCCTGTCGGCTCGTGCACACTGCTTACAGTGAAGCACACAGACACAGGGGAGTGAAACAGCACACAGTTAACCCTTTGATCGCCCCTCATGTTAACCCCTTCCTGCCCAGTGTCATTAGTACAGTGTCAGTGCTTTTTTTTTTTTTTTTTTTTTTTTTTTTTTAGCACTGATCACTGTATTGGTGGCACTGGGTATGTCCAAGTCAGTCTCCCCCCCTGTCAGAATGCCCACCGCAGTCCCGCTATAAATCGCTGTTCGCCATTACTAGCAAATATATATGTATATTAAAAAAAAAAAAAAAAAGCCCAGTACATATACGACCATTTGTAAATGCTATAACTTTCAAGTAAACCAATTAATTTACACGTATTGGGATTTTTTTTATAGCAAAGACATGTAGCAGAATACATTTTGGCTTAAGTTTATGACCAAATTTGATTTTTAAAATTTTTTTTTAATAGCAAAAAGTCAAAAATATTGTTTATCAAAATTGATGGTCTTTTTTTTTTTTTTTTAGTGCACACCGAAAGAAAGCTCAAATTTGTGGGAAAAAAAGGATGCAAATTTAATTTGGGTGCAGCGTTGTATAACCGCGCAATTGTCAGTTAAATTAACGCAGTGCCGTATCGCAAAAAATAGCCTGGTCAGGAAGGGGGGTAAATCTTCATGAGGGCAAGTGGTTAAACATCGCTGCTACTGAGAGATTTAACTACTCTTTGGAATTCATCACATTAGTAGCACATCAGTTTCAGTGTGATCATAAGGTGACTGCCAGCAAGTAAAGCTGAACTACTTTTGCTCCGTAGTGGAAACATTTTCTAAAAATCAACTTTTGTTCTTCATTGCGTTGTCCCCTTCAGATACACCCCGTCTGAGACCCAATACTGGTCCTCTTCTGACAGCCAGAAACATTCAACCCACTCCCTGTGAACCCTGGTTGTCAGAGACTTGCCCCTGGTGCATTGTGCTGTGTTGTAATTTAAGTGCATTGGCATCACAATACACAAATATTTACAATCTGCTGTACAGTGACATGAAAGAAGTGTACTTCTGTATACTTCAAATAAATCACACATTTGTGAACCACATAAACACACACACATATATATATATATATATATATATATATATACATACATATACATACATATATACACACACACACACACACACACACACACATATACACACACACACATATACATATATATATATATATATACACACACACACATATATACACACACACACACACACACATACACACACACACACATATATATATATATATACACACACACACATATACATACACACACACACATATACATATATATACACACACACACACACACACACACACACACACACACACACACACATGTGTTACTTGCCAAAGCTAAATTTTATTTCTGTCCATCCAGTCCTGAGATTTACACAGCTATGCTACAAAACACTTACTTACAGGTCTCCTTTTCACCCCTGCCCTGTGGCTGGAGAAAGGAGAAAGCGCACACTGATGAGCTTTTCCATCTGTCATTCTTTTCTCCCCACCCATCAGCATGTTCCCTGCACAGTAACAAACCTGATTGGCTCCTTGTGCTGCTTCTCTTTGAGCTCCTCTGTACAGAGACTGCAAGAGGCTGATACCAAGTCATATTAAGCCACTTAGGGTCCATTCACACTTGTGTGACTTCAAAATCCTGTGATTTTCATTGTGACTTGATGTGACTTTGGATGAGTGCGGCTTTGGCTTTGACCAAGGATAATTGTTTTCTGCAATACAGTCGCACACAAGTTGCATGTACAACATTCAGGTGCGACTTTCATTCAACTTCGGAGGTGAAAGTCGGACCAAAGTAGTGCAGGAACTACTCTGAATTCACTGTGACTTGAAGTTGCACAGATATGAATGGTACCCTTTGGAAAACATGGGGGGGGGGGCTACTTGTCATTCGACTTTGGACCCCGAAGTCGCTAAAGAAAAAAAAAAAAAATTAGGGATGTATTAATGTTTAATAAAGCCACAGTAATTTGTGTCTTTTATATCTTCGTGGAGTTCAGCTTTACAATCTGGCAAATTACGTGATTGAGAAAAAAAAAGCCAGATCATTCATTAGCACAAGAAACTTAAAAATTGTAGTTTATCTCTAAATAAATTCTGATTGGACAAGCCACTTAGGCAGGCCATAGATGGAGCAAATTTTGTTCCTGTAGCCACAGGTGCTGACAGGGGAATCCCTCCCACCGAGCCATTGTGTTCTTCTGGCAGGGGAAGCCGTCCCCGCTGGGAGAACACAGTGATTATTGCTAGTGCCTATAACAGCCGCTATCGATAACTGCGTGTAAAATCCGGCAGGCTGGTTGTACCTAGGTTGATCAATCAACCTGAGCACATGCAGACTGGTCATACTTGGTTTGAATCTCGGCGGGTTCAACAGGAAGATTCGAATGTGTATGATCGGGCCTTATGCAGGCCATACATGGGTCGAATTCCGAAAGAATTATCTTTTAAAATCCGTAACTTAAGATTTTTTGTTTGAATTTGCAGCATTAGTGGGCTGCAGTATTGGCCGATTTTCGTACAACCATCAAATTTGATTAATGGGGCATGTTGGAAATGTTTTGAAAACTGAACAAATTTCTAATCAATGATGGGAGAATTGTGAGAGAAATAGAATTGTAAAAGAAATCGGCATGAGCTGTGACCTGGAAAGAAAAGAATATTTCCAGCCACGAAAATTCCTTTCTTTAGCAATGAGGTAAAATTAAAGGCTTGGCTGGTCGAATTTAAAAATCAATGTTGGCGCCATTGGAATAAAAAAATTCAAATTTTCTAAAGAAAATTTGTTCAGAATTAGAGAATTATGACATCTGACTTGGATTGGGTCATTATTTAAGGAGAAACCCGTCTTTCAGCTGATCTTCATTTTCGAGAACAAAGCTTGCCGTTCCAGTGTAGTAAGCCTGGCCAGAAACCTCCACGATCACAGCTTTATGTTCACCACACACAGTTTCCTGAGTAAAGAGAGGATTGTGTCAGAAGTAAAAAAAAAATTCATTCAAGTCCACTCAATGTACTTCTAATGCCAAGAACCAATACAATGTTACTTAAAGTGTATGTATAGCCAAATCGTTTAGTATTGGATAGAGTAGGAAGGATTAAAACCTTCACGTTTTTGCTGCTGGAGGAAGATTAAAGAATGGGAGTACCAAATCAAGAGGTTGGAGTCCTATTGGATTTCTATTTCACTAAAATGGTTCAAGCTGATCCTGTGTGTACACCCAATACACACAGACCTTGCTTGAACAATTTCAGTTGAATATCTGTGTATTACTTCTTGGTTCCACTTTGAATTGGCCTTGGAACCCTTTTGACCACGTTAGATGAATGTACAATGTAAAAAACGCTGCACATAACTCCACACCACCTTGTAAAAGTGAAGTCACCCTAGGGTTCCAGCACCATCTATCCAGTTTTTTTTACAGCAGTCTGGTCCCCTCCTCTATATAGAAAGCCCTCGCTATATGACCTAGTGACCACAGTCACCAAGACAGAAGAGATGGGGAATCAACATGTTACAATTGTCACGAGAGCAAGAATAGCGAGCATACAGTCAGATGCATAAATATTGGGACATCGACACAATTCTAACATTTTTGTCTCTATACACCACCACAATGGACTTGAAATGAAACTAACAAGATGTGCTTTAACTGCAGACTGTCAGCTTTAATTTGAGGGTATTTACATCCAAATCAGGTGAACGGTGTAGGAATTACAACAGTTTGCATATGTGCCTCCCGCTTGTTAAGGGACCAAAAGTAATGGGACAGTTGGCTTCTCAGCTGTTCCATGGCCAGGTGTGTGTTATTCCCTCATTATCCCAATTACAATGAGCAGATAAAAGGTCCAGAGTTCATTTCAAGTGTGCTATTTGCATTTGGAATCTGTTACTGTCAGCTCTGAAGATGAGATACAAAGAGCTGTCACTATCAGTGAAGCAAGCCATCATTAGGCTGAAAAAACAAAACAAACCCATCAGAGAGATAGCAAAAACATTAGGTGTGGCCAAAACAACTGTTTAGAACATTCTTAAAAAGAAGGAACGCACCGGTGAGCTCAGCAACACCAAAAGACCCGGAAGACCACGGAAAACAACTGTGGTGGATGACCGAAGAATTCTTTCCCTGGTGAAGAAAACACCATTCACAACAGTTGGCCAGATCAAGAACACTCTCCAGGAGGTAGGTGTATGTGTGTCAAAGTCAACAATCAAGAGAAGACTTCACCAGAGTGAATACAGAGGGTTCACCACAAGATGTAAACCATTGGTGAGCCTCAAAAACAGGAAGGCCAGATTAGAGTTTCCCAAACGACATCTAAAAAAGCCTTCACAGTTCTGGAACAACATCCTATGGACAGATGAGACCGAGATCAACTTGTACCAGAGTGATGGGAAGAGAAGAGTATGGAGAAGGAAAGGAACTGCTCATGATCCTAAGCATACCACCTCATCAGTGAAGCATGGTGGTGGTAGTGTCATGGCGTGGGCATGTATGGCTGCCAATGGAACTGGTTCTCTTGTATTTATTGATGATTTGACTGCTGACAAAAGCAGCAGGATGAATTCTGAAGTGTTTCGGGCAATATTATCTGCTCATATTCAGCCAAATGCTTCAGAACTCATTGGACGCCGCTTCACAGTGCAGATGGACAATGACCCAAAGCAGACTGCAAAAGCAACCAAAGAGTTTTTTAAGGGAAAGAAGTGGAATGTTATGCAATGGCCAAGTCAATCACCTGACCTGAATCCGATTGAGCATGCATTTCACTTGCTGAAGACAAAACTGAAGGGAAAATGCCCCAAGAACAAGCAGGAACTGAAGACAGTTGCAGTAGAGGCCTGGCAGAGCATCACCAGGGATGAAACCCAGCGTCTGGTGATGTCTATGCGTTCCAGACTTCAGGCTGTAATTGACTGCAAAGGATTTGCAACCAAGTATTAAAAAGTGAAAGTTTGATTTATGATTATTATTCCGTCCCATTACTTTTGGTCCCTAAACAAGTGGGAGGCACATATGCAAACTGTTGTAATTCCTACACCGTTCACCTGATTTGGATGTAAATACCCTCAAATTAAAGCTGACAGTCTGCAGTTAAAGCACATCTTGTTTGTTTCATTTCAAATCCATTGTGGTGGTGTATAGAGGCAAAAATGTTAGAATTGTGTCGATGTCCCAATATTTATGGACCTGACTGTATATATCCAACGGGGACACCTGTTCCAGGGACAACTATTCCCCTCACTTTGTAAAGATGTCTTCTCCATTTTTTGTTCAAGAAAAGCAATAAAAAAGTAAGGGAAATTTCCCCTATGGGACACAGCAAAAAATAAACTGCCACAGGTTTTAACTCTTCCCTAATCCATCTAAAGAAGGACCTGGCTATACGTACATTTTAAGGAGGCATCATTAATGCTACTGATTATAACAATTAATTCTATTATTATATGTTTACCAGAAACTGGAAGCGTCAATGTGAAATACCTGAAATTTACAAATCTAAATCAATGAAAGTTTGAAACATTTCATTTTGGTGTCCCTAAATAAAATATGTAAACAAATTACTATGAATTATTTTGTATAGCTCAGTGCTAATAAACGAGATTTTCATGTTATTGGGATTCAGCCCTTTATGAAGTAACATGGATGGAGCCTTACCTTTTTACAAATTCCTAAAGCAAACAGCAGCAGGAAATCTGAAGCCTAATCCTGGGCTAAAAAACCCTTCAGTGGAGTTCCCCTGCTAGGGGGTAGAGGAAGGGGCTGTATTACTTTCCTTACCCCTCATCCTGGCAGGCTCCATCATGCTCCTATTCTCCTTGATGTTCTAGATCAGGGGTCCTCAAACTACGGCCCGCGGGCCACATACGGCCCACCAAGGCCATATATCCGGCCCGCCGTCAGGGGCGGGACACTAAGTACAGGGGTGGGCAGGGGGCTGCTGCACCTTACCTGGCTCTGGTCCCAGTCACACGACGATCCAGTCCAGGAAGCACTGCTCCTTCATTCACTCCGGCCACTCCCTCACTCCTGCCGCTCGGCTCCGCCTCCTCATCGGTGATTGGGCGCCAGAACTGTAGCTCAGGAAAGGCACACAGGCGGCCAATCACCTGCAAGGAGGCGGAGCCGAGCGGCCCCACGAACATCGAGTGAGGGAGAAGCCGGAGTGAAGAAGGACAGCTGACAGGTGTGCCGTGCAGATGGTGCTGCTGCAACCAGGTATGCTGGCTGCAGCAGCACCATGCTGGAACAGGGGTCAGCAAGTTACGTGTCATTGGTGTCAGTGGGAGGAATAGTGCCCCATCATTGGTGTCACTGATACTAATGATGGGGAATTATTCCTCCAGTGACACCAATGATGGGGCACTATTCCTCCCCCCACTGACACCAACGATGGGGCACTATTCCTCCCCCCACTGACACCAACAATAGGGTCCCCCCACTGACACCAACGATGGGGCACTATTCCTTCCCCCACTGACACCGATGGGGCACTATTCCACCCCCCCACTGACACCAGTGATGGAACACTATTCCTACCCCCACTGACACCAATGTTGGTACACTATCCCCCCTACTGACACCAATGATGGGGCACTATTCCCCTCCACTGACACCGACGACGTACTATTCCTCCCACTGACACCAATGATGGGACACTTTTCCTCCCACTGACACCAATGATGGGGCACTATTCCCCGCACTGACACCAATGACGGGGCACTATTCCCCCCACTGACACCAATGACGGGGCACTATTCCCCCCCACTGACACCAATGACGTACTATTCCTCCCACTGACACCAATGACGGGGCACTATTCCCCCCCACTGACACCAATGACGGGGCACTATTCCTCCCACTGACACCAATGACGGGGCACTATTCCTCCCACTGACACCAATGATGTGGCACTATTCCTCCCACTGACACCAATGATGGGGCACGTTTCTTCCCACTGACACCAATGATGGGGCACGTTTCTTCCCACTGACACCAATGATGGGGCACGTTTCTTCCCACTGACACCAATGATGGGGCACGTTTCTTCCCACTGACACCAATGATAGGGCACGTTTCTTCCCACTGACACCAATGGGGGGGGCACTATTCCTCCCACTGACACCAATGGGGGGGCACTATTCCTCCCACTGACACCAATGATGGGGCACTATTCCCCCCCACTGACACCAATGACGTACTATTCCTCCCACTGACACCAATGACGGGGCACTATTCCCCCCCACTGACACCAATGACGGGGCACTATTCCTCCCACTGACACCAATGATGGGGCACTATTCCTCCCACTGACACCAATGATAGGGCACTATTCCTCCCACTGACACCAATGATGGGGCACGTTTCTTCCCACTGACACCAATGATGGGGCACGTTTCTTCCCACTGACACCAATGATGGGGCACGTTTCTTCCCACTGACACCAATGATAGGGCACGTTTATTCCCACTGACACCAATGGGGGGGGCACTATTCCTCCCACTGACACCAATGGGGGGGCACTATTCCTCCCACTGACACCAATGATGGGGCACTATTCCTCCCACTGACACCAATGATGGGGCACTATTCCTCCCACTGACACTAATGATGAGGCACGATTCTTCCCACTGACACCAATGATGGGGCACTATTCCTCCCACTGACACTAATGATGGGGCACTATTCCCCCCACTGACACCAATGATGGGGCACTATTCCTCCCACTGACACTAATGATGGGGCACTATTCCCCCCACTGACACCAATGATGGGGCACTATTCCTCCCACTGACACCAATGATGGGGCACTATTTCGCTCCATAAGACACACTTGGGGGGAAATGTCTGTGCGTCTTATGGAGCGACTGGCCCAGTATTCCCGCCGCCGTTGTATGTCCGCAGTCTCTGGTCATCTCCTGTACCATGTCCGCATTTGTTCATAGTTTTTTTTTTTAAACTATAGTTCGGCACTCCAGCGGTCTGAGGGACAGTGAACTGGCCCCGTTTAAAAAGTTTGAGGACCCCTGTTCTAGATTGTGGGTGATCTATTGTTGTCATCAAATACAATGTGGTCCTGCATTATATGTGGAGGAGGCAAGTGTGCGACCACAGCTTGGGAGCACCTTAGATAGAAGGCAGTGTGGGACCAGTTGCACAAATAGAGGGAGTCTGCCAGAGTGAGGAATAAAGTATTCCACCTTTTCCCAGCACCCTTCAACTTTGGGCGTGGGCTTTAAGAAAAAAAAAAAAAGAAGGAAAAACTCCATCTTAAAGAGAACCAATCACAAGTAAGCCTTTGTAAGAATATGAACATTCTGTTTTAAATTCTTAGAATTATTCTTTCAGTGAAATTGTACTTTAAACAACATGATAGTTTCAGATCTCCCTCAAGATCTCTGCATTTGAGTTTCTGGGTCTGTCCACCTACTTAGTTGTTATGATGGGTCCATAAGGGGGGATATCCTCCTGCGCTTAGTATGGGTAAGTCCCTATCTACTAGCTGCAATCACTTAACCTCAACCAATAAGTAATAAATATCGTGCATTAAATAGTGAAGCGCTCCCAAATTATCTAAAAAAAACTAATATCAAAAATAATTGATATTAAAGGTGATAAAAAACATTATAAACTAAATCAATTAGTGGCAAAAATTCCTAAACACCTCTCATATGTACCAATATATTATTACCTCTTAATAGATCTGTGATAAAAAATAACAAATATAAAATCCATGATAAATACTCAAATAACAGTGATGAAAACGATTATCATAATAATACTAATTCATGAAAAATGTGACAAATCGTGATACTTGTGACAAACCTAAAAAATCAAAAAAAAAAAATATAGTGATTCTGCAATAAATTATATAATACATATGGCTTGTGATAAACCCTATAACAAAATAAAAAATAGAATAAAATAAATCGCTTCTTAAATCAGAAAAAAATATATAAATAGACTCAGTGTTTCAGAATAAACTCAAAATAGTCCATGCAAAAATGTGAAACACTCTGTGATCTTCACTTCTAGTGCTCAAGAAAGCAATCCTCCAACGGCAGCAATGCCTGCTCACCTCCCCTCCTCGACCCACACAGGGCCAAAAGGCAAAAGACTCTCCTTAAAGGCAATCCTTTCCTCCAGACAACTCAGCCAGGAACCTCAGGACTTCCACTCTACCTCCTCTCACCACGTCATATAGGACACAAACAAAAGCTTCCCATAGTGTAACACCGTTTATTAGAAGTAATATGGCATAACAAACTTTCCCACTCACATGTAATCTTTGAATACAACGCTTTTCCACCTCACATCATGGGTGTATTCTCATACAGGGAGGGAAACCAATATGGCCGCTACGTCCGGACAAAACGTCCCCACGTGACCGGAAGTGACGTAATCTCGTACTGGGAATGGCGTTCCAGTACGAGATTACGTCACTTCCGGTCACGTGGGGACGTTTTGTCCGGACGTAGCGGCCATATTGGTTTCCCTCCCTGTATGAGAATACACCCATGATGTGAGGTGGAAAAGCGTTGTATTCAAAGATTACATGTGAGTGGGAAAGTTTGTTATGCCATATTACTTCTAATAAACGGTGTTACACTATGGGAAGCTTTTGTTTGTGTCCTATATGACGTGGTGAGAGGAGGTAGAGTGGAAGTCCTGAGGTTCCTGGCTGAGTTGTCTGGAGGAAAGGATTGCCTTTAAGGAGAGTCTTTTGCCTTTTGGCCCTGTGTGGGTCGAGGAGGGGAGGTGAGCAGGCATTGCTGCCGTTGAAGGATTCCTTTCTTGAGCACTAGAAGTGAAGATCACAGAGTGTTTCACATTTTTGCATGGACTATTTTGAGTTTATTCTGAAACACTGAGTCTATTTATATATTTTTTTCACTGATTTAAGAAGCGATTTATTTTATTCTATTTTTTATTTTGTTATAGGGTTTTATCACAAGCCATATGTATTATATAATTTATTGCAGAATCACTATATTTTTTTTTTTTTGATTTTTTAGGTTTGTCACAAGTATCACGATTTGTCACATTTTTCATGAATTAGTATTATTATGATAATCGTTTTCATCACTGTTATTTGAGTATTTATCATGGATTTTTATATTTGTTATTTTTTATCACAGATCTATTAAGAGGTAATAATATATTGGTACATATGAGAGGTGTTTAGGAATTTTTGCCACTAATTGATTTAGTTTATAATGTTTTTATCACCTTTAATATCAATTATTTTTAAGTTCAGTGGGTATTTATGGTATGCACAGAGGGTATATTAGTTTTTTTAGATAATTTGGGAGCGCTTCACTATTTAATGAACGGTATGATGGGTCCATGCTCTCCTTTGGGTTTTATTTACTTTAAATTATAGATAATGCAGTAGGAGGTACTAGACAGCCGAAATCTCCCAGGTGGTTGGGAACAGCATTGGCTGGAAGATCTCAATGCTGGAATATATATCTCAGTATAACTCAGCCCATCAGGCTTGCTAACTAAAATATTACTTTCGGGTGGAAAGACTCTTTTTTTTAAAGGATTTCAATTGAATACAGAATGTGTTTTTCAACTTTAAGATACCTTAACAGCTTTCCCAGTAAATAAAGAGTCGGTGGCACCACTCTTAAAAGTCCTTGTTTGTTCCAGTTGTATCAGACCTTTGTGGTATTGTAAGGCAATCCGAGCGGTCACACCAGACCCAGTAGGACTGCGATCAACCTAAAAGATTTAAATAAATAATTAACAAGGTAGGAAACGTCACCCCAAAATATGGGTATCTTTTTCATAAAATGTGTCTATATAAGAAACGTTCTAAAGGAGATAAAAGTCAACGTGATGGAACACATGATCTCCTGTGAAGAAGATACCATACAAAAGTATGTGACCACCTGGCTCCTGTGGGCCTGGGATACCCTGATCCAACATCGAGGTCATAAACCTACATGTCGATGGGAGCTCTTGAAGTAGACTGCGCTTTTATCCCCAGGGTACCTTGGTTCGTTGATTGAGTGTTCGGGTCAGTTAATATCAGTTTGATGATTCTTAGAGGTGTAGCTGTTGGATTAGGGTTTTGGTCCATCTGTCGTGGAGGTTAAATTATTCTCCATGGTCCCCACCAACCTAAAACTAACATGCAAGCCCCTTTGGGCTATAGGGTATTAGAGCTTAGGGGGGTGTATATTGGGTTTAAAGCTCCATGGGGTCTTATAGCTTCATCCCCACTTCTTCATGGAGCGATCAGATTCAATGATTGGAGAAAGCAGACAATATATCCCTCGTGGTGCCGTTGATACGAGTCCCTATTTAAAGAGCAAGTGACTATGGTACCTTTGCACGGTTAGGGTACCACAGCCATTAAACTTTGTCACCGGGCAGGCTGGACCTCTTATGTATTATCAAGATCGGCTGAATTTCAGCTATTATCTATGAATGCCACCTGGTACTATCTAGAACAGTGGTTCTCAACCTGTGGGTCGCGACCCCTTTGGGGGTCAAACGACCCTTTCACAGGGGTCCCCTAAGACCATCAGAAAACACATATTTCCGATGTGTAAAGAGTAGCTACTGTGTAGAAAGCAGCTGCTGTGTTGAAAGCAGCTACTCTGTTAAAAGCAGCTACTGTGTTGAAAGCAGCAGTATTGGAGGTAAAACGACACTCATGAATTATAATTACTGGGTAAATAATTTTATGGTTGGGGGTCACCACAACATGAGGGACTGTATTAAAGGGTCACGGCATTAGGAAGGTTGAGAACCACTGATCTAGAAGTTCAGACAGTATAGTATAATCTCTGTGGCTAGTAGGATTAATCCGATTAAGATGATCCTTTTGCTGAAATGTTTGTATGTATTGTCCCATATGCCAGTAGTGGTTCCCAAGGCATTTTTTTAAATAACTAGACAGTTTACCTCATACATCTGGTCCAATACCTGCCATAAACTTACACTTTCCAGTTTACAGCAGCCCAGGGATGAAGCAGGTATGGTTCTACCGGACTTATACCTATATTATCTGGCAGAGCATATGAAATACCTGTCTACCTGCACTGAAATCACGCAGCTGATTATGGCTGAAACTCACTTGGCCAACACCTTGAACATATAGCAGCTACTGAAAGGACCTGAGGCTATGAAGGTATTGCTACCTAGAGTCAATATACCTTTGCTTATCCTGGCAGCAGGAGACTAAAAAAAACTTTCTGGTTTTATAATATAGTGTCAGGATATAGACACACACACACAATAAAATTCGAACACAAGAACTAGTTGTCAACATACCTTTATGGCCCTATTCACATGCACGCCCTCCGTTTTGTCTCGGGGGATTGTAGACTGATCAGAACAGAAACGGAGGTCACATATGTGACATCTGTTTCCTTTCACATTTTTCCTCCATTTTGTGATGGAGGCAAAAAAAAAAAAAAAAAAAGACCCAAGTGTACACTAAGGACAATCGGATGTAAACAAACATGCATCTGCCTACACCTGCCCATATCTGGTTATACCTGGATGCAACCTTCTTGTGTTCAGTCCAACCAGCCTCAACAGACCCGGATGTAAACAGACGCACATCAACTTACATCCGACCACCCATAAGGACACATTGCAGTCCTTTTTTGATCTATCTAATCATGGGCATATTACTATTTACTTCTCAATAGAACAATATATCATTCATTCTACCAATGATGAATTTTTCTGATAAAATGTTTCATAGATTCCTTTCAACATATTCTTTTTAATTTGCATTCTGTGCACCTTTCAAAACCATTAATAGATTAGATAAAACAAAAACTAAGACATAAACATATCAGCAAGGACCTTGAGTCCCGCCTCTCCAGAAGCACACCAGGACTTGCGGACAGTTTTTGACAGTCAAGTTCCCAGGTTTGTGTGGCTGAGCCATTCTTGGCATCTCCTTCAGCCCTAATCACTGGAACAGCTTGTAACAATCACTGCCAAATTAATAGGCATGTGTACAAATATCTACAATATGTTCAAATGTTTTTCTATTTCAGCAAGCTTTCATGTTAAAACAATTCATAAAGAGATTTCTATAATCATCGCCCCCATTTAAAGGAGACCTGACGGCTGCTGTTATCCTGATTTAATGGTTTCGATACTTTCCCCATCACTGACATTAAAAGGAGAAGTTGGGGGTAGTTATACATCCACACTCATCTCTATCATCAGTCTGATGCAGCAGCTGTCTCTCACTGGCTCGTAGCCTGAGAACTGAGTGATCACATGACGGCTGATCACTTGGTTCTCAATCCTGTCAGAGTGGAGAGCAGTGACTGTCAGTCACCAATCTCCGCTCTGCCCCTCCAGCACTCACTGAAGTGCTGGGCTGGAGAGGCGGTGGGCACAGCTGCCTTGATCCTGGCAATATGATCTTTCTAGAGTCTGGAATGGCTCTGTGACCTCAGCAGACAGCAGATTTTAGTCCATTGTCAGCTGATTCTGAGTCACATGGGAGCAAAAGTAAGTGCACTCCTGTGATCCAGAAGAGAAGAATGACCAAAAAAAAACATTTGACCATGCTTCTCTTTTAGAGAGGTGCAACGATCAGGAATTTACAGTACTTCACACATGCTTGTTCCATGTCAGACTTGCTAAAACCAAATAAAAAACAACTAGTGTTCTACATACATCTCCCAGTACAGATTTCCTAAATGATTATTCCTCTTCCACCAAGAAACTCCCACTGCCTGCTGCTTACAGATCCCAGGATTTACAAGGACAAGGAATGCAATGACAGATTTTTTTTTTTAATCTGTGGTGCCACCTACTGGTCATACCACGTATCTCTGCCTGGACATATAATTATATAGGTACATTTATTTGATTGAACTTCAGCTCGCCAGGTGATGCAACGTAAGACAAGGTAATCTTTATTGTTTAACCACTAGCCTACAGGGCACTTATACCCCCTTCCTGCCCAGGCCAATTTTCAGCTTTCAGCGCTGTTACACTTTGAATGAAAATTGCGCGGTCATGTAACACTGTACCCAAATGAAATTTTTATCTTTTTTTTGTGACAGATAGAGCTTTATTTTGGTGGTATTTAATCACCTCTGGGTTTTTTATTTTTTCTTAAACTAAAAACCACTGAAAATTTTGAAGAAAAAAAAAAAAAAAAAACGTTTCTTAGTTTTTGTTATAACATTTTGTAAATAAGTGATTTTTTTCCTTCACTGATGTGCGCTAATGAGGCTATAGTGATGGGCACTGATAGGCTGCACTGATGGACACTGACAGGTGGCACTGATGGGTACTGATGAGGAGGCACTGGTAGGTGGCACTGATGGGCATTGACAGGCATCACTGATGGCCACTGAAAGGCAGCACTGATACATGGCACGGATAGGCGGCACTGATAGGTGGCACTGTTAGGCGGCACTGATAGGTAGGACTGACGGGCGGCACTGATGCACACTGATAGGCGGCACTGACTGCATTGATAGGTGGCATTGATGTGCATTGGTAGACACTGATGGGCACTGGCAGGTGGCATGGATGAGCACTGAGAGCTGGCACTGATGAACACTGACGTGTGGTACTGCTGGGGCTACACAAATCATCAGGGCACACTGATCATCAGTGCCCTGATGAACAGTGTACATGTCCCCTCCGAGGAATGCCGATCACCGGCTCTCCTCTCGAGCTGTCAGCGTGACAGCTCGTGAGGAGAGAAATGCCGATAACCGGCATTTCCCTGTTTACATGTGGTCAGCTGTGATTGGACACAGCTGATCACATGACCGAGCCGTCATCTACGGCTCTTTCCGTTGATCGGTGATCCGCTGCGTCCGAGGGACACACGCACCGCCGATCGCCACGCATGCGCAGTTAGAATAGGAGGACATCATATGACGTCCTCCCAGACCAGAACGAGAGAACCGCCTTGCGCCCGTCGTAAATGTTTTTCTTAAAATAACATGCCATAGTTACCTGTTACATAAAGAGAAACTCCACTTTTGTTGAGATAAAAAAATTTCCCTCTGGGTGATCTATGTACATCTCAAGGATTTTAACAAACTGTTGCAGATTCCGACCTTTTGTTATTCTGAAGAAATAGCTGTTTGTTTGTCTGTGTCCTTGCAATGTGAATCAGAGTGACTTTAGAATTATCAATCAGCTTCTGCACCTAATAAGGAAAGTGGTAGAGTCTGCATCCATTTAGACATGATTTCCCTTTGGGAGCATCTTGAGGATCTCACCAAATATTACATTTTTGTTGCAGGGGATACCCAAAATCTGAATAACAATAAATCTGACTTGCATCTTAGCACAGTATTCTGGGAAAATCAGTAAGTCAATAACACAAGCAGGAAATGACTGGAGAGCATTCTGTATACCATCTGTGTACAGAACACCTCAAGGTAGTCATATTGCTTTGCATTTGACAGAAAATGACAGCACCTCAGATTGAAAAGGAAAGGTAATCTTTTGTAACATGAAGCCTGGGTCCACATCTGTGTTGTGCGGTATATTGGATGCGCTTCACACAGGAACCACACCGCAATCCTGTGCAAATCACATGTGATTTGTGTGTGGTGCGATTGAAACTATACATTTTGTATGGCTCTAATTGCATCGCAGCCGCACCAAAAAGGTGCAATACCCTTGTTTTGGTCCGCACTAGAATTGGATCGCATGGGTATTCACACCAATGCTATCCGATTCTGCACATCGCACCGCGTTTTGTGGAGAGTGGTTCACATGAACGGGGTGCGATTCTGATGCGGTCTGGAATTCGCAGCGTTTTCTGTGCAAATTCCGCACCGCATCAGTGTGAACCCAGACTAAAGTACAGTATCACAATTGTATATGTTATATATATTTTTTTGCCACTTTTTTCCACAAAAGTGGAGTTACCCTTTAAAGTGTTACTAAACCCAGGACCCTGCATTCACTATATCTGGTCTCCCACAGTACACAGAACATGGAAGTGCAATTATATTAGTAAATCTAAACTGCTTTTCTTATCATCAGTTAGAGCAGTCTTGTGACTTCTATCAGTGTCCAGCAGAGCACTGGATCAAGGTTGTAGGAGGAGGTTTAATTCTCTCCTAAGGCTGCATAACCCCTGACCCTCTCTCTGGACAGCACTGATTGGCTCCATGCTGATCACATGCACTCTCCCGATGAAAAGGAAAAAAAAAAAAAAAACTCTCTAGCAATACACACCAAACAGAGCATGTGAAGCTTGCCCCCCGAGGCCCTGTTTTATCAGCAGATGGATGGGGGACAGTAGATTAAGGGGAGGATAAGAGAAAAGAAGATCAAACTGCCTTTTTACACAATGCAGAGGGGTAACCCCTTAGGTTCTACAGTGAGTAAAACAAGCATGCTTATGGCAGGGGTACTGAATTAATACTCATGAAAGTCTGACCAGTAACATTTTCTTCCAACAGAGGTTAAAACAGCATTTTTGCCCCTTCACTACTGTCCTCTGCCCCTTCACATCTCTCTCCCCCACACTACTGTCCTCTGCCCCATAACATCTCTCCCCACACTACTGTCCTCTGCCCCTTCACATCTCTCCCCACACTACTGTCCTCTGCCCCTTCACATCTCTCCCCACACTACTGTCCTCTGCCCCTTCACATCTCTCCCCGCACTACTGTCCTCTGCCCCTTCACATCTCTCCCCCCCGCACTACTGTCCTCTGCCCCTTCACATCTCTCCCCACACTACTTTCCTCTGCCCCTTCACATCTCTCCCCCACACTACTTTCCTCTGCCCCATAACATCTCTCCCCGCACTACTTTCCTCTGCCCCTTCACATCTCTCCCCACACTACTATCCTCTGCCCCTTCACATCTCTCCCCACACTACTGTCCTCTGCCCCTTCACATCTCTCCCCACACTACTGTCCTCTGCCCCTTCACATCTCTCCCCCACACTACTTTCCTCTGCCCCATAACATCTCTCCCCACACTACTGTCCTCTGCCCCTTCACATTTCTCCCCACACTACTGTCCTCTGTCCCATAACATCTCTCCCCCACACTACTGTCCTCTGCCGCTTCACATCTCTCCCCACACTACTGTCCTCTGCCCCTTCACATCTCTCCCCACACTACTGTCCTCTGCCCCTTCACATCTCTCCCCACACTACTGTCCTCTGCCGCTTCACATCTCTCCCCACACTACTGTCCTCTGCCCCTTCACATCTCTCCCCACACTACTGTCCTCTGCCCCTTCACATCTCTCCCCACACTACTGTCCTCTGCCCCTTCACATCTCTCCCCACACTACTGTCCTCTGCCCCTTCACATCTCTCCCCACACTACTGTACTCTGCCGCTTCACATCTCTCCCCAAAACTACTGTCCTCTGCCGCTTCACATCTCTCCCCACACTACTGTCCTCTGCCCCATAACATCTCTCCCCCACACTACTGTCCTCTGCCCCTTCACATTTCTCTCCCCCACATTACTGTCCTCTGCCCCTTCACATCTCTCCCCACACACTACTGTCCTCTGCCGCTTCACATCTCTCCCCACACTACTGTCCCTCTGCCGCTTCACATCTCTCCCCACACTACTGTCCTCTGCCCCATAACATCTCTCTCCCCCACACTACTGTCCTCTGCCCCTTCACATTTCTCCCCACATTACTGTCCTCTGCCCCTTCACATCTCTCCCCACACTACTGTCCTCTGCCCCTTCACATCTCTCCCCACTACTGTCCTCTGCCCCTTCACATTTCTCCCCACACTACTGTCCTCTGCCCCTTCACATCTCTCCCCACACTACTGTCCTCTGCCCCTTCACATCTCTCCCCACACTACTGTCCTCTGCCCCTTCACATCTCTCCCCAAAACTACTGTCCTCTGCCCCTTCACATCTCTCCCCAAAACTACTGTCCTCTGCCCCTTCACATCTCTCCCCACTACTGTCCTTTGCCCCTTCACATCTCTCCCCACACTACTGTCCTCTGCCCCTTCACATCTCTCCCCACTACTGTCCTCTGCCCCTTCACATCTATCCCCACTACTGTCCTCTGCCCCTTCACATCTCTCCCCCACACTACTGTCCTCTGCCCCTTCACATCTCTCCCCAAAACTACTGTCCTCTGCCCCCTTCACATCTCTCCCCACACTACTGTCCTCTGCCCCTTCACATCTCTCCCCCACACTACTGTCCTCTGCCCCTTCACATCTCTCCCCACACTACTGTCCTCTGCCCCTTCACATCTCTCCCAAAACTACTGTCCTCTGCCCCTTCACATCTCTCCCCACAATACTGTCCTCTGCCCCTTCACATCTCTCCCCCACACTACTGTCCTCTGCCCCTTCACATCTCTCCCCACACTACTGTCCTCTGCCCCTTCACATCTCTCCCCAAAACTACTGTTCTCTGCCCCTTCACATCTCTCTCCCCACTACTGTCCTCTGCCCCTTCACATCTCTCCCCACACTACTGTCCTCTGCCCCATAACATCTCTCCCCGCACTACTGTCCTCTGCCCCATAACATCTCTCCCCACACTACTGTCCTCTGCCCCATAACATCTCTCCCCCACACTACTGTCCTCTGCCCCTTCACATCTCTCCCCCTCACACTACTGTCCTCTGCCCCTTCACATCTCTCCCCACACTACTGTCCTCTGCCCCTTCACATCTCTCCCCACACTACTGTCCTCTGCCCCTTCACATCTCTCCCCACAATACTGTCCTCTGCCCCTTCACATCTCTCCCCACAATACTGTCCTCTGCTCCTTCACATCTCTCCCCACACTACTGTCCTCTGCCCCTTCACATCTCTCCCCAAAACTACTGTCCTCTGCCCCTTCACATCTCTCCCCACAATACTGTCCTCTGCCCCTTCACATCTCTCCCCACACTACTGTCCTCTGCCCCTTCGCATCTCTCCCCACACTACTGTCCTCTGCCCCTTCACATCTCTCCCCACAATACTGTCCTCTGCCCCTTCACATCTCTCCCCACACTACTGTCCTCTGCCCCTTCACATCTCTCCCCACACTACTGTCCTCTGCCCCTTCACATCTCTCCCCGCACTACTGTCCTCTGCCCCTTCACATAACACCCAGCAGAACTGTGCCCCCTTCACATGCCCCCCAAACACTGCCCTCCTTTACATCTCCTTCCCCACAGCACAGCCCTCCCCTACATCGCTCCCAACAGCACCCCCCCCACATCAAAAATCCCCCCCCCCCCCTTTGAACAGTAGTGTTCTCTGCCCTTTTCTCTCATCAACCCCCCCCCCCCCCCCCCACACACACACACACACTACCCCCTTACACCCCACCCCACCCCCGTAGTATACTCTGCCCTCCTCACATCAACCCCACCCCCCACTTCACATCCCTACCCCCACAGTACTGTCCTCTGTGCCTTCACATCCCACCACAATGCCCCCCCCCCCCCTCACATCACAAATCCCCGCCCTTTAGATCACCCCTTCACAGCACTGCCCCCTTTACATCACCCCCCCACCACCATATGCACAGAGCACTGCCCCTCTTCACATTTTGCCCCCCTTTACATCACACACACATCCAGAGTAGTGTCCCCGGCCCCCCCCTAACACTCCTACCTTAGAGCGGAGAGCGTGAGGTGGAGCATTTCTGGATCAGGTGTGGGAAGCACTGTACACCATCAAGCAGGACCGCTTCTTCCCCCCCATCCTCTGCCACTGTTATAAAAGCAGAGCAGACAGCAGAAGACAGAACATTTCTGGAGCAAGTGTGGAATAAAAGCACAGAATTGAACAGAGCGTTGAACGGGAGCTGGCATAACATTTCTGGATTGGATGCAGGAGGAACAGCATTGAATAGAGCGCAGGAGCTGCAGAGGTTAACTTTTTGTATTAACCAGCAGGTGATTGGCTGCTAGCACTGCCTTGCTTCCAATCAGCTGCTGGTTAACTTGAAAAGTTAACCCTGGCAGCTCTCGCGTTCTATTCAATGCTGTATTGTGCTTCCCACATCTGATCCAGAAATGTTATGACAGCTCCTGCCCTGGCGCTCTGTTCAATTCTGTGCTGTTATTTCACACTCGCTACAGAAATGTTCCGTCTCCTGCTGCCCACTCTGCTGTTATAACAGGATGGGGGGAAGAAGAAGTGGCTCCTAAATGGCATGACTGGGTTTGGATGAAACAGTGGCTAGGTCGGCATCCGGACCGCGGTCCGCCATTTAGGGATGCCTGCTTTATGGCATACACTGACTGATTTTACTTTTGTGGATTTAGTAACACTTTAAGATGGATTGATTTTTTGGGAGATAAATTTGCCTAAATGTCAGAACAAGTGGCAGCGTGATGATTGAAGGAGTGACTGCTTCTGACAGCGTCATTTCACACAGGTGGTTTTACATTGTGACAATAGATTGATACCTGGGAATCTGCGAATATACAGATATTGGCACTGGGCTCCTCACTGTAAGCATCCTTTCCATCAGTCAGTATTGTGCCATATAAGAAAGACAGATCTTCACTCTCTGGATGGATAATTTTAACCTGAAAAGAGAATTCAGAAAGACCATTCAGTAAATGTTTACAGAGAGAGGAGGTGTTAGTTCTATTACTTGCTGAAAGAAGAATTATTAGTATGTATGTTAATCTATCAGTCACCAGACAGGAGAACAGATTACTGGGTACAAAGGACAGGACTTGTCAGTGGATGGGGAGGAGCAGGCAGTGTACCCCTACCTGAGCCTTCACAGCATCAGTCACTGCAGCTGCAACATCTACCAGATCCCTCGTCTTAGAGGTGCACACATCCAGGCCAAACCTCTCTGCACTTACAAAGGCATAGAATGCTCCTCCATATGCGATGTCCACGACTACTGTCCCATAGCCGGGAACATCAACCATGACATCTGCACACACAAAACATCAGGGGAGCGTCAGGTAAGACAGATGGTTTTCGTAAGGAATAAAGTTGGCCATACACTGTTAGATTTTAATCTATAATGTTCTTGAAGGTTCATTTGATTTTCCAGCAGATGGGGAAAGCTCAATGATTGTGACTACAGTGGGACAGCAAATTGAAAGAGAAGGGCAGAAAATGAGTCTCATTTCTTATGTAGACCAGCGTTTTCCAACCATTATACAGTCAAGACACCCTTTAGAATTGCGCACAATCCATGGGCACACCAGTCTGAGGGCTCGACCACAACAGGAGATGCATCCAAGCGCACTCGCTTTTTTTAATGGGCTGCTCTATGCTCATGAAACACAAAAAAATGTTCTGGTGTGATTTTTTTTTTTTTAATGCGCACTGCATCAAAACACATGGTACTATGGTACCATGCATTCTAGTGGGAGCCAACGCACACATATTTGCAAGATGTCTGAGGGTGCCATTAAATCAGAATTAATGGCACTCACCCGCCATTGCATTTTTCATGCAGTGTGGGAAAACGAACGATTTTGCAGGATACTGCACTGTAGGCCCTAAATGTAGACTGTAAGGCAGAATTAACGTGGTAGTAAAGTCTGTTTTTACACTTGTACCTATAATAAGGCTCACCTGTGGGTACTGTAATTATCTCCTAAATCTTCACTGTTTAGGGGATATTTACCGGTGTAGAGCACCAGCACATGCGCTTTGAAGGAACGGCATGCCCGTGCCTTTCCTTCAGAGCTGTGTTGTAAAAAGTGATTCCAGTGCGCATGCGCGGGAGTGACGTCATCATGGCTCGGCCATGACAAGGCTTCAACTACCATCTCTATGCCGACGACACAAAAATCTATCTCTCTACCCCTCACCTCACATCGGATCACCAGCCTACTAAGTGACATATCGGACTGGATGTCACTCCACTTCCTCAAACTCAACCTTTCCAAAACTGAGCTTCTAGTATTCCCCCCAGCCCGCGCCCCCCCTCCCCTGACTTCTCCATCAAGATCAATAACACAATCATCAGTCCCTCCCCTCATGCCAGGGTACTAGGTGACTAGACTCCAATCTGTCCTTTCAGCCCCAGGTCCAATCACTGACAAACTCATGTAGACTTCACCTCCGCAACATCTCCAAGATACGTACGTTCCTAACCTCAGAAACCACTAAGCAACTCATTCACTCCCTTGTTATATCTCGCCTTGACTATTGTAACTCCCTCCTCATTGGCCTACCTCACCGCAGGCTATCCCCACTACAGTCCATCATGAATGCTGCTGTCAGACTCATTCACCTTACTAACCAATCTGTATCTGCCACCCCTCTTTGCCAATCCCTCCACTGGCTTCCCGTTGCCCAACGGATAAAATTCAAAACACTAACACTGACATATAAAGCCATTCATAACTCTGCCCCTAATTACATCACCGATCTGGTCTCTAAATACCACCCAAACCGTACTCTCCGCTCCTCGCAAGACCTCCTACTCTCTAGCTCCCTTGTATCCTCCTCCCATGCTCGTCTCCAGGATTTCTCATGGGCTTCACCCATCCTCTGGAACTCCCTACCTCAAGCTATCAGGCTATCACCTACTCTGCTCACTTTTAGGTGCACGCTGAAAACTCATCTCTTCAGGGAAGCCTACCCTGACCCCGGCTAACTACTGGAATCCCCTACTCCCCCAACCACTCCATCCCCCACAGCTAATTACCTCTTGTACCACTATCCCCTCCCTCCTAGATTGTAAGCTCCAAGGAGCAGGACCCTCTAATCCCTCTTGTATTGAACTGTATTGTCTCCCGTTATATTGTAAAGCGCTGAGAAAACTGTCGGCGCTATATAAGTCCTGTATAATAATAATAATAATAATAATAATAATGGCTCGGCCATTCAAGCCACCGGAGCCCAAGCACCTGGAAGAGGGACTAAGTGAAGCTGGAGGCCCTCTCAGCAGTGACAGCGTGCCGCTGGAGTGCTTCATTTTAAGGTGAGTTTCACATAGTATGCAATGCGTACTAGAACATTATATTACCTTGCAGGACACAACCAGCTATAAATCGCATCCTATGTGAACAGTTATCTCAGAATGCCACTATACTCTATGCCGTGCAAGTTTGGAACACGTCACTCCTAACTCACACAGGACCCTTTTTCTAACTGAATCAAAATCGCACTGCATAGATGTAAACGTCCTTCATAGAAAGCAATGTATTTTCAGATGCCATGTGAATCTATGCCTTTTGGATCACATCTGATCCGCATCAGTGTGAACCGGGACTAAGGCTTCATTCACACCTGGGAGTTTTGGGATTGCTGTGATACTGCCCAGGATATGAAAACGCACTACAATTACAAAACGCAGGTTCAGGTTCCATTATTTTTCAGTGGCACCACAAACGCAGTGCGGTTTCGCCGCGATTGTCACATGATTTATTGTGTGGCAAATCACATCACGTGAAGCTTGTCCCACAAAAAGGAGCAGGAGCATCTTCTGGGCAATCAGCTCCACATGATACAATTTGCTGCGATGGCCGCATGATAAATTGTGCGACAACTGCGGCAAAACCGCACCATGTTTTAGGTGCCATTGAAAACAATTGCAATTGTAGTGTGTTTTCAGATCGCAGGCCGCATTGCAGCAATTCTGCCACGATCCCAAAATGCCCAGGTGAGAATGGAGCCTCATGGAGCGGACACTGGAGCTTGAGTTGGCTGCTCAGCATGCGCTTGTACTCAGCACCTAAGTGCTTCTGTGTGCGAGGGTGACCTGAAGGAATAAGGTTTTTTTTTTTTCGAATTGGGGTTGGTGTGCTTCTGCTGAGCGTTAAAGAGAGCCTGACACTCCCTGTTACTGACAGGCACCCAATCAGTGCTCATTACACTGCGAGTCCCCTCCCCTCCCTGCTAGTCCTTGGGTGCAGTGCTGAAAACAGGCAGGGAGGTGAGTAGGAGAAACAGCGCAATATTAAATCCTTCTTTAAATATGGTTTTGGTTCTGTTCCTCCTCCCCTTCCAAATCCCTCTCCTATCACAAAACCTCTCATCTCACCACATCCATCTAATCACTAAAGGAGTAGTGACAGTGGCAAAGAGGAATGTGGGGTGTGCTTTGCCCCCTAATTCCACCTCACTTCTCCAACCTGTCTGTATACCGGAGATAACAAAGAACACCCTGAGATTGGGACTGTAATGAAGCCTTGTACAATCTGATCAGACCAAGATCCTGTGTTAACTTCTGTGTACAGAGAGAAGGGAGATAGCAGCCGGGAGGAGGTGCGGGTTGTGCTATCTGTACTTCTGTTGGCAACTCAGAAAACTGTGCAGGCCACCTGACCTGTACTCAGCAATCAAGGATGCCTTCAGTTGGTAGGATGTGGGTAGGTGGCCCGCACAGCTTCCCGGGTTGTCGACAAGCAAACAGAGAGCAGGAAAGAACCGGGAGGAGGTGTCAGCTGCGTTCTCCCCTCCTATCTGCACACAGGATCGATCTCTGATCAAACTGTTACGGGTCGGGGCAGTTTTATGTCACTTGGCTGCGGCGGCACCCCCGTTGAAAAACACTGATCTAGAAGACTGAAATTCAGTGAATGTGGTCCTCAATCAGAAAAAATCTAAAGCTGGTCATACATTATACAATTTTCCTGTTCACTTTCCTTTCGATTTTCCTTATACTACGTAGTGCAAGGGCCTGCCTGATGGCATACTATTTGAAAGTGTTTAGGTCTGATCTCATATTATATGGTTTTGGCAAGTCTTATGTAAAATTGTACAAGAAAATTGTATAATGTATGCCCAACCTAAGTTATTGTAATGTGCATGTGTAGTCATTTACATTTATTCGTTTAAAGCCCAACTGTAGGTTTTACTATAGCTTTAAATAGTTTGCTTGGGCCACGCTGGCTCAAACAAACCATTTTCTTTACTAACAGTGACTGCTGGGAGTGCTATATAAATTATATGTCGCATCATCATGTATACATTTGTAACGGACCACCTGACAGCACCTCTATCAGTCCCCTGATAGAGCCTCCCCAGAGTGCGGAGTCTAAGTTCTGGAACACTTGTTCACCAGGGCCCCTGATGGTGGGGATGGACTTGGAGCGCTCCGGGACCAGGTCGCAGCTACCGGGTATCTCTACCAGAGGTAGAGGAGTCTGCCAGAGGCTCCTGTGGGTTAAGAGTCTGATGTGAGGGAGCCCGGGGATCCCTGAGGGATGGATGGATGAGCAAGATCAGAGTCAAACAGGCCGTGTCGGTAACTTGCGGGTCGGTGAGGTACAAGATGGTAGGCAAGGGATAGTCGTGTCACACGCAGGGTCAATACCAGAAGATCAGATCTATAAGGGAGCATCCAGGAGCAGAGTCAGGCAAGCCAAGGGGTCAGGACAGGAGAAGGCAACAAGGTCAGACAATCCAGATCAGAGTACTCACAACACAGGCAACAGGATACGCAAAGACCATTCAGCAACAAGTGTCTGTGCAGGGCTGGTTTGAGTAGCCCGCCCTTCACCTGACAGGTGCAGCCTAGGTCCTAGTGCCTGACCAGTACTGTCATAGACGACGGGTGCGCCTGGGTCCTAGTGCCCTGCTGCCTGCATGTCTTGACAGACACCTACGCATGTGTAGACCCATGCGTCACGATGGTCCCTGACAACATTATAAAGTGCAGAGTTTTGGCAGAGTTGGCTGATTGCCACTCAGCCATTCATAAGAAGCTTCACATTTTAATAACTGAATACAAAGCTTCTTTTGATGGACTGAGGTGAAGAGGAGGGAGGATGATGTCATAACCTCTGCAGAACACAGCGCAGTATACTGTATGTAGAAGATGCTATACAGTATATACAGCACTCCCAGCCCAGGGGCTATGAACCCTGCATCAGTCTTGGTGACATCAGAGCACCTTAGTTCACCGGAGTGCAGAGGAGAGTCGGTTTGTGTATAATGTCAAGCAGCTCAAGAGCCTGCAGGAGCAGA